TGTTCCAAATCTACTCTAATAGATCACATAGCAGCACAAATAGAGCAACGCTGTAGAGCAAGGAGGGTTTTCGAAGGCAAAAGTACAAGACGGCGAGAATGAAGATCTTTGAAGCGCGGTCCATATGGTCGTGTGCAGTCTGTTGACCTATCACAATTAGGCGAGCCGTGCACAAACGTCAAGTGAAATTAAGTAGGTTGATAATGAGACACCGCTGATCACTGACGAGGAGCTGTTGTGCGCGGCATCCTCTGAATCGTCTAGCAACAGAAAAAAAAAAAAGAAGTACCTTCCCCTCTCTTCCGTCGCCACTTAGTTACAAATACAGTCGTCAGAGTAAAGTAAACCGCTGCTCCAGACGCACATACGGCTACAGGCACATTGCACTCGCAAAACACATTCACACGGTGTCGATTCTTGACCGGCATCCAAGCGTGCGAAGGCATAGAGACGCAGCGCTTCGGGGTGCCAAGGAAGCTTTGAGCATGCCGCGAGACCGGCGAAACTTGTTTTCGACGAGTTGTGCCTTTTTTTTTTCTGCTGCACTGCGCTTCCGTAAAAATTGTCACGTGTTCTCAACGGCAAGTCTCACGTCTTACATAGAGTTTTAAAGAACTTCTTCGGTGAATGACGACGAACGAGTAAAAACCGTGTCTTCAGCACGCTGCCGCCAGCCTCCGCAACGCTCCAAAAGCGCGCTTTCTCAACATGCAAAATTGCCGTCCGGTGGACGCACTCGGGCTGCAGCGATCAAGCGAGCGTACGCGATCCGGCAATTGCCCTAAACATAAGTGTATAAACTAGAGAAAACACGACAAGCTCTTAAATTCAGTACGCGAGAGCGCTCATTAGGGAGTTTTAGTAGACCGTGTTTCCCGCTCCGCTAGCCCTCCGCTACGAAGAAACCGCCACTGCGCCTGCGCGCCGATGGCCTTGGCTGTAGAGTTCCGGGTAGCGGAGGGGCTCAGCGGAGCAGGAAACACGGTCTACTAAAACTCGCCATTATGATTATTCAACGAGCGCGGTTCAGTCTTTCATGTTAAAATCCAATTTCTCCGGTTCTTCCCGCGCCCGAAAGCGAAAGGGTGACGGCGCCCGAAAGCAAAAAAGGTACGAACAGAAGGAGTTCGGGAGAGCCCACTCAGCCTAGAGCAAACCGAACACTCATGGCGATGAGCCCTGTGCCTGCACATGTCCATCAAGTCGAGTCTGATGCGTGGATGGGTTTCCCTCGCGCAACTGAGTCGGGAAGCTAAAGCAAAAAATATGGCGCGTTTTCTGACTCAGCTCGCGCTACAGCGTTAAGTTACGCGTCTTTGATTCCTTCTGCACTTCGGTTATCTCGCAAAGCGCATGCGAAAATGAGCTAGCTTACCTTCTTAGTCCGGTTGAATGGTGAAAGATGATCGCTGCGACGACGAAGAGTGCTGCCGAGCTCCCCGCCCGTGGTGGTTCGCGCCGGTTCGCGCGCGAGCGAGCGTACGCGCGTAGGGACCGGGAAGTAAACATCACGTGATGGACGCCGCTCCTCGCTCGGTTGTCGTCATCCGCGAGCTGAGTGCGCCGGCCTTTGGGTGGGTCTCCCTCTGCCGTTCGAAAGAGATTTTAGCGTTGGCACGAATGGCACGTAACATGAGACATCTGCCAACAAGAAAACTATCTCTAGAGCGAAAGTGGCGTGTGTTATGTGTTTTTACTTGAAAGAAAAGGGAACACAGACTTGAACTAAGAAATATGTGAAGCCGTACATTTACGGACTCGTGCCGTCATGTCGCCTCTACGGCGTTTTGCCCGTGCGCGCCTCTCACGGCGCTTTCCAGTTTTGAAAAAGGCTGTTAACTTACGGTTTTTTTTTACAGTGTACCGTTCATCAGGTCATTCTCAACTGAGCGAACATTTTCTGTGCAAGTCGGCAGAACAGAAGGGAAGACGACTGTCCTTACCAGAGGCGTACCACAAGGCGCAGTGATATCCCCCACGTTTTGCAACATGGTGATGGCGGACCTTGCATTCGAATTGGTCAAACATGAATGCTTAAATTATACCATCTACGCCGATGACATTGCGTTGTGGTCAGTCGCCCCAACCATCTCACTGCAGCAACACTACCTAAACGGCGGCTTGGACGCAATGGCCTGCTTTCTGGAGAATATTAATATGGAAATATCTGCCGAAAAGACACAGTATGTAATAGTAGCCAACAAAACAGGCAGAAAACGATTCAGCTCAATTAGGTTGGAGGTAAATGGAACGACCATTCAAAGGGTCCCAGAAGTCAAAATTCTTGGCGTGATTATCCAAGAAGACGGCCGAGCGACCAAATTGTACGATAACATTAGAACAACATTGAAGAGCACCATTGGAATAACCAGCAAGGTCACAAGCAAATCATGGCGGGCACAAGAACATACCCTCCGAAGGCTTGTACGTGACCTGCTGGTCTCAAAAACAATCTACGGGTGGAACTACCTTCGCCTCTTTAGGGCTCAGAAGGACGGACTAGAGCGTTTGAACAACAGCGCCAGAAGGCTCATCACTGGGCTCCCTGAGTGTACAAACTTGAAGATTTGATTGAAATCGCCGATATCAACAGCCTGAACGAAAGTGCGGCAGAGGACACACTAAGCCACGCATTGAGGCTACAGACGACACCGGCGGGAAGAAATATTCTTAACAAGCTAGGATATCAATACGCCACCCACCTGTAATAAACTGCATCCCCGCCATGGGAAGACACCTTCATTACAGAGACAAAGCACATCCCTCAAAGTATGGGCAAAGAACAAGAATATAGATGTACCATGGCAAGGGGCCATCTCAAGCAAGCACAAGCCGAAGTAGAATCGGGAAAGACTGTTTATTACTCGCATGCGGCCGTCTCCAAAGACGCCGTAGCTTTGGCGACAGTTAACAGCAAGGGGGACTTGGCTCTCTTAAAGCTAAACGAGTCCATTGCTTCTCGAAATGCCGAACTCAAGGCTATTCTTATGGCAGTTGAAAACTCTGACCCTCAACAAGAATACCTTGTCTACACGGACTCTAAGGCCGCATACAAAGAGTGCAGGAACCCATCCACTTCCAACAAGACTGCAAAGGCCATCAGAGCACGCGTCATGAACCGACAGACAAAGCTTAGTGTGAGATAGATCCCAGGCCACCAAAACATACTTGGGAACGAGGCAGCACATGCCTCAGCACGGGTCATGCTCTCTTCTCCTTCTTCTGATCCCGGCTATGGTGACCTCACGTGCTCTTCAAAAAGACAAGACCCTACAGCCCTCAAGGACGATGAGCGAACAGAGCGCCGAGAGAGGCTCCATGCACTCAGAAAACAAAACTCACACCCTTTGCCGGATGGACCCTACTCCATATGGGACAGGGTCTGCTTCAGGCGACTACGCACGGGAACCGCCATGGTACCTAAACGTACTGCAATGTACGCTTGGAACAAGCAACGACCGAAAAGGTACAACGAAGAAAGCTCAGACCCCGCAGACAACATGGACGAAAGCCTCTGCCGACACTGCAAGGTCGTGGCCTCAGAAAATCACGTTTTCTGGGACTGCATAAACATTTTTGAGAGAAAAGAAGAAATTTTACATACCATTCCCGAGGATCAAATACAGAAGAGTTTGGCGGAATGGACCAGACCATCCGGCTCACCCAAGCATCGAAAGGAACTATTCGACTCTCTCCATCAGTTCATTGAGGAGGCTCACCTCACTCATTTCATTTAATCCCCATCCCCCACCCCAGGACAGCACCGACGGCTTAAGCCCAGCTGACCTGGCCCTGGTGTTTCTTTCATCTTATTATTATTAAAGGCGTTTTCAAACAAACAAAAAAAACTTTTCTAGGATCCAGCGACTTTATTTTAAATGTAGGTGGCTTCACCATTCGTTTAAAGCTTGAACCGTCGATATTTGGGTTGAATGAGTGCGTGGGCTTTTTACGGCTGACAAAGCTACCAAACGCTTTCAGAACAAACTGGCTTAGATGAGTAACAAATCAGGTCGCATCTTCGGGTGCCGCTCGGCTTCCGCAGTAAATCGAAGCTGTAGAGGCGGGAATGACGAGAAACAAAATAATGACATGCGCACTTTAAAATGTTACCCACCTTGAAATTGTGAGAAATTGAACGTCTTGCACGCTCTATCAGACAGGGCATGCCGTTTATGTCTTTATTTTTAATCCAGCCATTCTCTCGTCATTTGCTGGGACCTGGGCTAGCTCCGTGAATTAAAGATGGCTCTCATTATGCTTCGGAGGAAAAGTGATGCACGAAAGCTTTCTACTTAACGTAGTGAGTAACTGAGGTAGATTTCGACTTCTGCTTCGCACTTTTGAAAGCAGCCCCGCTGTAAAAGGTAGTCTTGCTACTATGGGCAGAACACGCTTTGTTTGGGTACCAGCCCTGCAACCACTGGCACGCTTTGGCTTTTTGTACTCCGGCTAGTTCGAGCAAGACACCGCCCGTTATAAAGGCTACAGCAGTTAACATCCATCCGTTCATCCAGGCTCGAAAATCAGACGATCCACATACACCAGCAGCAAGATGGCGGCGCCCAGATGCCGTACGTGCAATCCTCTCTGTATAGGAATCTTTTTCCTCACTTTCTGTCCTTTTTGTCACTTTGCATACTCGTACGACTTTATTTGCACAATTAGAGATCAGGATAAGATATCTGAGACATCTGAAACGGTTCGGTAAAGAACCTCGCCGAGTATGTCAAACTTTTTTTTTTTTTGCTTTTCTTTTACCACGCCCTTTATCAGCTCCCGCAACTAAAAAAAGAGCTTCGAAACTCCCAAGAAAAAAGTGCTGCGTCGTTCGTATATTTTTTTATTATTGCAACACATTTTAATGCAAAGGTAACAAGGAGGGGTAGGGTATAGATGGCTCTTTGATAAAGACGTTATTATATGCAATTTATTCCAGTAGAAACAGACAGTATTTTACCCACAAGTTAGGCAAAATTATTTTTCGAATCTTCCACTTCTCATGAAGTAGTAATCGCCCTAGTTACGCCAAGTTTATCTTCGCACTGCAGCGTGTGTTTAAAGAGACTTTCACTTTCGGAGTCCTGAAAAGAAAAAAAAAAAAACACAAATAACAGGTGAAAGACACGTTGGCAATAAAAAGAGTAAAGCCAAGGTCACACTGCTTATACGTCATACAGAAGACAATCTACATACAGATTCGAACGCCAGTCACCGCGAGTTCCGTGCATCGAATGCCGCATCGCAATGAGTTCAGGGAGGAAACTTGGCATGCGGCATACGAACCACGGATATTGCGGTGACTTGTGTTTGCAGACTGTCTTTTGTATGATGTTTGAACAGTGTGACTCCGGCTGAACGCATGACAGGCGAGACTAAATGAATGCCTTGTATTGTAATAAAAACTGCATCACAATATCACTATAAATTTTTAGAATAGGCGGCCCGAAAACTTGGGGGCCTCAAAGAAATAGGGGCTCACCACTGCGCGTGCGCAGAACCCAAACTCCGTTTAGTGTTTTGGGTTGGTGCTCGCCCCCAACGCAGAATTCGAGAAATAGCGTGAGGCCCAGTGGTGCAAAACTATCATAGTAAAAAAAAACAAGAAAAAAAACAACAACATCGATATAATTATTCAAAGTCGACTATTGAAAAACTAACTATAGTACTATCAATAGTCGACTATCGGAAAACTATCAATACTACTATCGATAGTTGATTATCGAAAATTATCGTTAATCGGGTATCGGAAAACTATCGATAGTCAACTATCGTAAACCTATCGATAGTACTGTCGACGGTTTACTATCGGTAGTTTTGTGAAACTAGTACTTTGGGTCGATCCCTCTTCTCTTTTTCTCGCTTTATTTTTTCGAATGGGACACTAATTAGCCCAAGCACTTATCACTGTGGTGCAAAACTATCGATAGTACTATCGATAGTATTGATAGTCACCAGAAATCTGAATATCCACAGTAAAAAAAACTATCGATAGTACTATCGATAGTCGACTATCGAAAAACTACCGATAGCTCTATCAATAGTAAACTATCGAACACTATCGATAGTACTATCGATAGTCGACTATCGAAAAACTATCGATAGCTCTATCAATAGTAAACTATCGAAAGACTATCGATAGTACTATCGATTCTTCTGCGGCACTATCAATAGTTTTGGAAAAAAGCTATCGATAGTATCGATAGTCAATTTATCGATAGTTCTGCATCACAAACCCGGCCCCAGTTGCTTGGGGCCGGGTTGCGTCGGCAAACATGGCGGCGCCCTTTCCGCTTCGCTTCGGAGCAAATTCGTCATGGTCCCCTCAGTATTAGCCAATTTCATTAACAATAAATGGTACAAACGGCTTTCGCTTAGCTTTATCTCGCTCAAGTCTCAAGGAATGAGTGGTGAGCTCGCCCCATTTTAAAGATCGTCCCTGACCCTGGCCGTTCCTAGGCCTAAACAGACGCGGTAACCGTTGACATGGCAACGCATTGCTGTCTCCGTGGCTCCGAGTGGATTTCGATCGTGGCAAGATACCTGCAGCTCGAAAACAAGTATTTCACGGCTTCAAAGTCGCTCCAGCTGAGATCTAAATAGAGCAGCTGCTCGCAGAGTTTGCTCGTTCGCGTTCGTCTCAGTTTCGGCATAGCGAAACGGCTCTTAAGAAATGCCGCTTCTGGTTTTGATATGCCATCACTTATCAAGCGTTGCGTAACCTGAGTGATAAGTCACGCGTCGTCTTGCTCGAACGCTTCAATCTAGCGTGATATGCTGGTATTCTTCCGCAAGAGTGGTAGCATGCTGTAGTAACCCCCCTTTTGAAACGAGGCAACCCTTCGTCGGGACTGTGCGGGAGTCACTGGTTTCCCTCCCCCGAGAAGACGTGAGCCACAGGGCGCGGACGTTCCGGGCGAAGCCGTCTGACTTCGAGCCCCGTCGCTCCGTAACGTGTCGGGGAGAATACGTCACCATGCTGACCTACTCACTCGCACTCCTCCGCGCGTTTCCCCGATTTCGGGGGAACAGCGAGATCGCGCGAGGGAGAGTCGGGCCTGCCCTCCGAGTGGACAAGGAGTGTGGTCGAGGAGTCCTGGATGGGGCAACGGGTCGAGTCGCGGCGCGAGCTTGTCCGACCGGCGATGACTCCACGCTAGTGATTCCCCTGGCTCTGGCAGTCGGCGTCCTTACTACCTGTGGACGTCCATCTGCCGAGAGGTCTGGCCCCGAACTCCTGCGACGACGGGTAGCAGCGTGAGCTCGTCCGACCGGCGATGACTCCGCTCGCAATTACCCCATTGGCTGTCAGGTCAACGGGCGCTGCGGGCACACTGTGTCCACGGCTCGCTTGACCGCAGTGTCTTGTTGAGGACTCCTGGTACTCAATAAGCGCTGTTGGATACCGGGATAATCATTGTTGGCATGGCGTTGGCCGAATCCGGCGCGGCGACTGCCCTCGCTGGTAGCCGTCGGCCGCGCGGTGGGACGGGAATCGGATTTACCCTTTGACTGGACAGGTCCCCTGACGTAAAGGTGCGTAATCCTTCCTCCTTTTATTCCCACAACTGTCATTGTACCGCCCAATATCCTTGACCTCGTGCGCTGAAAAACTTCTGTAACGCTTGGTGCTTACGCGTTTCTTGACGATATTGATATTGACGATATTGAAGCACTGTCACCATAGCTTGCGGGATTCAGAAGTGGGCACTGCACTGTATCGTGAGCCTCACATCAGCCCATTCTGATCCTTCCCATTTTGATAGATGCATTCTGCGTCCCTTTATGCAAACATGCCTCGCGCGTGTTGCAAACATGTTAGAAGACCTTGGACTTGCCGTCTCAGCGCAAATCAACAGCGGTGCTCGCTTGCTCCCGCGGTCCCTTCCGTCACGGATTTCAGCGGCTTTGTGTGAGACTCGAGTACCACGCTTGCGTGACTATCGATACTTAGTGTACAATTATCTTGCTTCCCGACTTTATTGGAATCGGCAAGTTACGAATCTTGTCCGTCAGACGGCGAAGACGACATCTCTGTGCTGTCGTTGATAATTTTGTCAAGTTCACTGCCATGTCTTGAGGTGCCCTACAGATAAGGGCTTTTGCCTGTGCGCGCTCTTGATCTCTTTGTGTGTCATATAATTTCTCTCCGTTTGGAACTGTTTTTAACAAAGGTGATTTCTGCGTAGAGTGTGGTTGGGATTGGCTTCGTGGATATATATAGGATGGTCGAGAAATAAACCAGTTAGCTGAGTTTGAGACGTCCCTTTCTGTGTCTGTTCCTTCTACTAAAAAGTTTCCGATTGCTTCCACCACAGTCTCAGGTGTTATATGACATAATCTCTTACTCGTCGACTTCGTGGACTTGAGTGAGGATCGACCCCTAAAGCCCTACTGTACTGCATCTGGCACTTAACCTTTCCCGCATTTTTTATGCCGCGCCATATTCGCCTCCTACGCGATATTTATGGGACCAACTGGAACGATGCCACAGAGCTGGAATAAGAATGGCTCTCGGTTCTCCCTGGTATTCTTGAATCGAGGCAACGTAGATAGAGGGCAGAGCGACACCGCTAGTGGTACACTCTGTGAACCGTGCTCTTCAACAGCTGACCGACTTGCTGAGTCGAGCAGTGGTGTCTCCCTCTTCACTGACATACCAGAACGTCATTTTTTATATTATGCTTGTCACTGGACTTTTATTGTTGAGTTTCTGGGCGTCATACCCTCCGTCCATACTCCTTTAATTGACCACCCTTGGAGAAAGAACCCGCTCACCATCTACGAGGACATCCCGGGTTTCCATGGAAAATCACGACACCCCTGTGTGGTTAGTTAAGCCCTGGCAGAAGAGTGGATGGCGTCTCGATATTCCTCTTTTACGGCCATTTATACTGATGGCTCTGTCGACTTCATTTATAATTTTGCGTCTGCAGCTTACCACATCCCCTCAGAATCCTGCTCATGGTCAGGAAGGTTCGACCAAGTTGTGCCGTCGACTGCAACCGAGCTGAGTAACATCCACGCAGCTCTTCTTTACATCGCGACGAAAGCGCCAAACAACTTTCTTTTGCAGGAGACTCTCGGCGCGTGGTGCAAAATATCCTCAACAGCAAAGGCGCTAATTTCAATATGATTTATAGAATAACTAGCTTGTGTCGTCTACTTGCCTCCCATGGCTCTTACCTGCGAGTACAGTGGATCCCCTCACACATTGGCTTACCCGGAAATGAGATGGCTGACCATCTGGCCTCAACTGCTTTAAAACTATCCACTGCGACATTGAATCTGCTCAGCAAGCCTGACCCCAGATTGGATATTAAAACTTAAATAGAAAACAAGCATCCGGTTTTCTGTGTGGCGTCTGATAAACCTCCTTCTTCAGTCCGTACGTGTGGCTTAACACGGAAGTTCGCTTCCCTTCTCCACCGCCTAAGAACAGACCACGCTCACACGCAAGTAAACCTGCATCGCATAAAAAACAACAAAAAAAACACACTTTTTTGAACAAATTGCGATCAACCTGACGCGCATATTTTTTTGACGTGAACACTGCACTACAGAACAAAAATGTGCTTCTAGCATCGCTAAAATGTCTCGGTGTTTCATCCACCCTCGCGGACATGCTATTTCCAAAGGGTCCACCGTGACCATCCACGTGCACACGTTTTCAAAAAAAAAAACAAAAAAACTGTTCAGCTTCTTGGACGCCTTTGGGCTTCTGGCAAGGCTTGTAGTGTGTGCAAAAATACAACCGCCCCCCCTTTTTTTTTTCCTCTTGTGTACAAGTGATACTTTTCTCGTGAGTTTTCGTGTGGGACTTTGTGAACGATTTGTTATACCCGTGTTCTATAGAACTGAACGCGGCCAGCAGGGCACGATTTGTTTCCACGCTGATCCATGCGGCGACTCAAGTTACACTGAGAAGGTGGTTTACGTTCCCACTTTCTGCGCCGTCCCCTCGCCTCCGTTGTTTTCACCTTTTTTTTTTTTTTGCTGACGCGCGTATTGTTGATTATAAATGTTACTTCTGTTTTAGAGGGGGCGTCGGAATAAAGAGAACGCCGCCTTTTACTTTTTTTTA